GTAGAGAATGTTTTGAAGGAGCCTGGACAGTCTGAGGCAGTTCTACTAAACAGGGCTAAGGTCAGTCCTCAGGTAGCATTTTGTTTTACTTTGCCTGACTGGATAATGGCCCATCTCTCAGGCTCTGCTCATTACTGGTGCGATCTTCAAAGCAGCAGTCCCAGACGAGTCAGACGAGGAGCGTAGAGAACTCGAGCGGTACGTCACATGAACTCCCATACCCCGGCAGTTACTTACGCATCGCCTGAAACACAGAATGGTACACGAAGCCGCGCTACCCAAGAACAAGCAAAAGGTGACCGCGGCTGCGAAGGCAAAGAGGGAAGAGATGCTCAAGGCTCAGGAGCAGAAAGCTGGGGATGGAGTTGCTGATGCGTCAAAGGCTGCAGCATAAGCCCTGTACGAGCTGATTACCATGCCATGCTCTTCCTCTCGACTTTCTGGACTCTATTTCTGATTGGCTTCACATCTAGACGGTTTTTGCATAATAGCTGTTTACGTCGTCGTTGCTGTTGAGGGTGTTTCGTTTATCCACTTTACTTACACTAATTGTTTACTTCATACCTATCCACTCAATCAAATAGTTCTTCTATTTCTGGCATCGTGCGGTTTCAGTTCAAATATTGCTCGAAGTCAATTCAACTCTGTTTGGCTTCTGAGAAGCATATGCTAAATAAATCATGGTAATCACTGTGCCAAGCATTCACATGCAATAAATAGAGACTCCAGGTTACAGGCGGGTAGGGTAATCCGAGTGCGCCAAAGAATAGTGAATTGATAAGAATATTCCATGCAGGTCTGTCAGTTTACGTTCATAGATAACTCGCGCGGCATTTGCCTATGGGTGAGGTGAGAGGGCAGGCAGCCTCTTAAGAGCGCACCCATTCATTTCGTTCGAATGACGCTCGCACCTGTGCAGGTCAGTAAAGATGAGCCATTTAGATCGTAAGCAGACCCGGATAACCGACTAACTTTATTGAAAAAGTCCAAGTCGCAGAGGACGCGGTAGCCCGTCAATGCTAAACCTTTGGAAATGACTATGGTGGCCTCGTGTGCTGCTTCGCTGATGGCAGCTTTCGCAAAAGCAGCCGTATGGTTTCCACCCTGAGGCTCAGTAGGGATGGCTGGGAAAGAGACGATCTCGAAGGTCAGCTTCATGGCCGAATGCAGTCATGCAAATGGCGCTATTCACCGAAAGAAGGATGGAGTGCAGGGAGGGCTATGAGGGGATATAAGTATGAATGTTTTCCATATCATGGACAAGTGGGAGCATTTGGAACGAACCATATGAAACGTTTCCCTAAAATTTTTATGTCAGACAAGCCTGCAAATAGTGCATGGAGATAGATAACCAACAAAATCGGTAGATGCAGTTGTACCAGTTGTCAGCGTCAACAAGCCGTAGCGGCTCCCGACAATGTCGGCGAAATCTTGCGCTGCAGCGTTGGAAGAATGTCAGGTTGTTGTAATTGCAAACGTGTAAGCGTTAAATGACCAACCGAGCACAGTGTTTTGATGAAGATCAAAATATGCACTGTCGAGTTTTATCTCGAGTCTGCACGAGGTTGCTAAAGCCGCGGCTCTGAGAAAGAGTCAAGCCACAATGTATCGAGAGCCATGATGAACTTACTTCAAGCAATTCTGCACTCGTTCAACAAATGGTATTAGTTCTTCCGAAGTAGGGGCTCGCGCAAGCCAGTTCATCTTGGTGTAATCAGGGATGACTATTTTTCAATGCATTTCGTTAGGACAAAGTTTTTACGAAGAGTGATTGTGTAAGGTTACCATTTGGTTGCCAGTCCTTCCCCTGCACTATTCCATGTACGCGATGGTCGGGTTTCATCTGTTGTCGAAGCATCGAAACCCCTGAGTATGCAAGAAAGGCCGCATCCAGAGCATTGGTTCCTTCCCTGGACAAAAACGTGCTTGAGAATAAACCTTTAACTTGGTGATTGTGGGTTACCATGGGGCTCCTCCGGCGTGTGCGCTGTAAGGCAAAGTTTGATGCCAATGGAGTTCTTCAACCGCCGGAATAAGGAATCCACGGACCTGTGCCCAAAGTACTCCACGGTTATGGACTGCATGGCGATTGTGCTGCCGACACTTGTAGAATGTGGTATACCTGCTGCTGGATGACACCTACAAATTTTGACAAGTCGGTCTCGCATTTCATGGTCGGAGATAAAGAAGACGAACATGATGCAAGCATCCATCTCGTCGTATCCACCTCGTTCGAGAAGGATGACTTTTCCACCCCCGCCCTCTTCCGCTTGAAGTTCGCTGAGTCAGACCGAGGAGCTTGAAGGTAGAACGGCGCCCTCACCTGGGGTTCCTAGAACGATAATCTTACCAGACACGCGTTTCTGGGAAAGCAGTGCGGCCTTTAATGCAAGGGCAACCCCAACTGCGCTGATAGCTATGAGATTATGGCCGCATGCGTGCCCCAAACCGCGAAGAGCATCCATCTCAGCATTGATGCCTATGACCCTTCCTCCTGTGCCTTGGCTGTACTCTGCTCTCCAGGCGGTTTGGAGGCCAAGATAGTGCTTGGTGGTTTTGAATCCGTTTTTGGCCATGAAATCGGTTAAGAGGTCATGAGCATACCTATGAAACGCGGATTTAACGTATGATCGGCTTGTTAGAAGGGTCTAAACGAACTTTTCATGCCACATGAGTTCTGGGTGACCTAAAGTATGCATTTCGTTAACAACAAATTCCTCAATAATAGTTCGTTTGAGATGAATTATGATGTACCATGTATCTTCAGGCTGATGTCGCGAAGCTTGGGGCTCGCGTCGTCCAATGCACGCTCAATGGTTGCGGAAATGTCATCGCCGCCGGGAAGGGCGGCTTTTGCGGAGTATGTTGGTGGATGTAGTTCAGACCACCGTTCACTACATGAGCCATACGAGAAGTCGCAACAGGGATTGAAGCAATCGATATGGTCCTTTTGAATATCGGGTCAACCAAATGAAGGGCAATGAATCAGGGAAAATGACGACACTTCTGCTCCTCCACTTCCTATTTCCTCCGCATCTTTGTTCACCTTGTCATGTTTGCCGGATCGCAGTGCTTGGTGGTTTGGTGTAGGCTTCGAACGCGAAAGCGAAGGCGCCTTCAACAAACGCGATTTACGCGTAAAAAGGGTGCCAAAACACCCAGCTTGCTTGTCAGGGTGGTCCATGAGAAGAAGATGGTTAAGGAGGGTTGTATTGCGGGCACAGAGCCAGATGGGTGCAGTTGATCATTTTACTATGTGGCAGATCTGGCTGAGATCCACAATTCATTCACCGATCGTTTGACGTAGAAGAGAGGTGGTCTGGATGACAGATTGGGACGAGATCTGTCCTCTTGCCCATGGGGTCAGTGTGAATGTCCCGGTGAGTTCGGCGCAGAAGTCATGATTGACCACCTGATTTGTTTCTTGCACAACGCGCGCAATGCGACAACGGGCCCTTCGAAACGCTGAGTAAGTCTCAAGGGCTTTGGTAAAGTTCGGAGTCGAAATGTGAAGACAATTGAACGCCACTGGAAGTCAATAGCATGATGAGGGAAGTATCGTACAAAACGTTACAATTATGTTGACTATGTTACAGATATTAGTACCAACATTTTCGGAAATAGATACAGAAGTATGATAAGCGAAAAAATCAAGAAAGATGACGCATCGTTATTTCAATTTCAAGTGTCTTCAGACTTGGATGAACCCATCAATCTCTTCCAAAACCCAACTGGGGGAGTATATCGATCACGACCTCCGAGTCCAACAATCACATTACCAGTCCGAGTACTCAGCTGGCACAAGGCAGTCTCGCGCGAAGTATCAATCTCTTGAGTGCTGTTTTGGCCTTCGACCAGGAAGATGACCTCCTTGTCTGTGGTCTTCACCACTTTCATAATCCCGGCAAGTGCAGGCAGAACATCCATCGTTCCTTTTCTAGTTGTGAGATGGACAAGCCCAGAATAGCTGGGTGGTAGAAATAAAACAATATTTCCTATATGCAAGGGTCAATGCTCAGACGCAGTAGAAATCTACATGACTTCTGCGCACCTTTGCGTGAAGTGATATCAAGGCCTATGAGAGGTCGCGATGAAGGCATTGATAACTTCATTGTCACGACCTATGAGATGGATTTGACGGAAACAGGGCAACACACTCACTAGGTTGATTTTGATATGGCCTGTACGACTGGCAACCACTACATTGGCCTTTGGTGTCTCCCAAGCATTGCCAGTGGTGGCGAGGTCAATCATAATGTCTCCATGGCGTGTACGGAAGGATGCATGGGGCAACGGTGTTTTGCATTTTCCTTTCGACTTTAGACGACTTTGGTCAAGCGCTGAGACCTTGGGATCAATATAGAACGTTCCTGGACATAAGTTCGTTGGTAAATCGAGCTAGACCGGACTGGACAGAAGGAAGGAAAGTTGATACCTTTAATGTCATGTTTACGCTCAAGGATGTGGACTTGGTCAACTGACGGAGGAGGATGTACATTCCTTGCCGAATGGTGAGCATTGTCAGGATGGTCACTGTACGCAGGTGGGTGATCTACAACCTGCATAGTCGTTAAGATAAGTCTACGGCGGACGAGAACGAATCAACAAACAGATTCCAGCTTGGGCAGAGGTTTATTGTCCATGGCTGCGGGAGGCATGCCAGGCGGGGACTGGATGATCATCTGTAGAATGCACCGTGGTCCGAGTGTAAGCAAGATATATGATGAACAGTGACTGGCACGAGGTACGGATAAGTAACGCCTACGACTGCGCTTTGCTATGGCAGTTAAGCAAAGCCAATGGTACTTGGGCTGTCCAAAAATATGTGACTGAGGCTGTGTCACTGCGCAGGACCGCAGGCATCGCAGGCTCGGTTGTGAGACACATTTTGATATACAGATATAAGTAGAAGAACGATCGAAATTGCCTGTTTTGTACGGCGCAACGCATTGCAATCAATCACTTGTGTCTCCCGCAAAACGAAATGACAAAAACATCACGGGCCTAACCGGGAATTGAACCCGGGACCTCCTCGATATAACACGCTTAAGCGCCCTAACAAGGAATCATACTACTAGACCATCAGGCCGATGAATGTTAGACTACATTTGGTCATCATAACGCTGTTTATTTGCATTGAGAGAAAGTAATATATCGTGAAATCAGACAAAAAGGGCCTGACCGGGAATTGAACCCAGGACCTCCTCCAATCAGACGCAATGCCCAAAGGAGGAATCATGCGACTAGACCACCAGGCCGATGGGAAAGAATTGCCAGTGGTACCTACAGTGTGAGGGTAAATGGCTGGAGGTCATATGTAATTATCTTGTTGCTCTCAACAGGGTGGAATATGTGACTCCAAGAGGGACGAATCTGGATTATTAATGGCCAATGATATCATAATTTGGTGCTTTTGTAGTGGTATTGTACATGGCTGGAAGATTGATCGACGGGTGCTTATTTCTGGCTTACATTGGTTTGTGGGTCCGTGTTTACCAAACAAAACATGCAGGCCCTGAACGGAACCTGGGAATTCAAGTATACGAACTAGGGTTTCGGAACTTCTGGACTTGTTTGGAACTTAGTTTCAGGCAGTATAAGGCGGTGCCAGTAGGTTTCCACAAACTCAGCGTGAATTGAACTTGATTGCGATATATAAATTGAAGCAAAGCGGCCATCCCCTGCCGTGAATAGATAGCAGGTATACCATTAGGCCGACCAATGAGGTGACATATACATACATGAATCGAAGCAAATTGTAATCTGAAGGTCTCATGCAATCTCATGGATCATAAAGTCGAATGGCCCCCTGTTGCCGGCCAGCGGCCTCCGAGCCAAATAGGAGCAAATGTCACTCGTAACAGACGCGTTCAAGTTACGGTTGCGTACTTGTCGGATTTGAATTTCCTCTTCAAGTCTTGACCGTAGTACAGTAAGCTTGCTGTATTGCGTACTTTGATACCTCCTGCCCGGAAATGGCTTCCGCGGCGCAATCAACGCAAACCGAACGTTTAAACCAGATATTCAATGGACTGAAGAATAGAAATGCCGACGTCAGACTTCAATCAGCCAATGAGTTGAGGCGCTTCGTGAGTGCCATCCTCAGAGTAGAGCTCAGTCAACTTCATGATGAATTTTCAGGTGTCGACCTCCATTGCGGAGATGTCCTCTGATGCGGCCTCGAAACTCTGGGATGATAATATAAACCGGCGTTTGTTTGAACTTACTCATAGTCAGAACACAGTGGAGGCATTTGGAGGTTTACTTGCAATTGGTGCGTAGCCAAGAACCCTCGACTTGAAACTGGTCATTGAATAATTTCCAACAGAGATCCTTCTCGACATTGATCAAGAGGAAACGATAGAATCCAAGAGAAACTTGTTCCGCTTCTACAACTATGTCAAACACCTCCTCCCAAATCACGACTTCAACCTTATGCTTACGGCTTCGAAGACGCTGGGGAAGATTGCAGAAATTGGTGGATCGGCTTTTGGAGAGCGATTCATGGACTACGAAGTACCGGCCGCCATTGAACTCATGCAGCCGGACAAGCAGGAGCCACCTCGGTACGCTGGTGTCTTGATCTTGAAGGAACTTGCCAGAAACAGCCCCAACTATTTTCATTCGCATATTGGAATTGTCTTCGATAACATCCTCGTGCCCTTGCGAGATCAACGCGTTATCGTCAGGGAAGGAGCTGCAGAACTGCTCGCGGCTTGTCTAGAAATTGTGACTTCGCGAGAACGTCAGGCCCGAACTCCCTATCTTTCCAAGATCTTGCAAGATGCTCAGATGGGTCTCAAGCAATCAGGACCGGAAGTCATACATGGGTCACTGTTAACCTATCGCGAATTGTTGCTGCACGCAGGCATGGTGTGTTCCATCCCTTTCGTCTCCGCTTCAGCCTTTTGAAATAAAGACTTGCATGCAGTTCATGAAGGAGAATTTTCTTGACACTGCAGATCAAATCCTGCGTTTTAAGTCTCATCGTGACCCCATGGTTCGCAAAATGGTCATCACCATGATTCCGTCTCTGGCTGCCTATGATACGCAAACTTTCACCGAGCATTTCCTTCACAAAGCTATGGCTCATTTGTTGACTCAACTCGAAAAACCGAACGAGCGGTATTTTGGTGAGCGCATAATGCGGTGGTGTTATGAATTCTAGTTGATATCATTTCCAGCCTTCATTGCCATTGGACATACTGCCACCGCTGTCGGAAGTGACATGAAGCCTTTTCTTGACTCTATCATGATGCATATTAAGCAAGGTCTGCAAGGTCGAGGGTTAGTCGCATCTTTAATCAATAACACATGACCTCATACATCGTCCAGGAGGAAAAATGCACCATCGGAAGAACCCATCTTCCAGTGTGTCGGCATGTTGGCGTCGGCTGTAGGACCTAATCTGACAAAGCTGTTGCATGATCAACTCGACCTCATGCTCGCCTGCGGCCTGAGCGAGCCTCTCGTCCAAGCGCTCGTAGCCATTGCGAAATGTATCCCTCCATTGTTGAAGACTATTCAAGGTACGTCGTAGACTGCCTGCTAGGCGGACTAATGTAATCCCCCGTAGATCGCCTGCTGGACCTTCTGTCGAATATTCTGAGTGGGCAGCCATACAAACCTCTAGGTGCCCCTTCAAATCTCGTTCGAAACGATGCAGCTGTGAACAATAGGGAATTAAACACAACTCAAGTCAGAGACTTTACCATGTCGTGAATCTTCTTTTCTTTGCGATTAACGCTGGCTTAGATCAACGGCGTCGACAAAAGTCCCGAATTAGTCACACTGGCATTAGCCACCTTGGGGAGTTTTGACTTCAGTGGTACAGTGACTTTTCTCTCACCAGATTCGTATTCTCACCCTCTTTAGGGCACGTCCTGAACGAGTTTGTCCGTAGTTGTGCTCTCCCTTATCTGGAAGACGACAATTCAGAAGTCCGACGGGCTGCTGCCTTGACTTGTTGTCGTCTTTTCGTCAAAGATCCAATTTGTTATCAGGCTAGCAGTCATGCCATCGAGGTTATCAGCGACGTTTTGGATAAATTGTTGACTGTTGGAATAGCAGACCCGGGTACCTATTGACCATCTCCTGAGAGGCCGCTCATCTAAATTCCCCTCTAGATGCTACCATACGGTTGACTGTTCTTACAAATCTGCATGAGCGTTTCGACAAACATCTTGCGCAAGCCGAGAATGTTCGATCCCTCTTCATTGCATTGAACGATGAGGTATTTGAAAATCGTGTCACCGCAGTCGGTCTCATCGGTCGTTTGGCGAAGCACAATCCTGCCTATGTCATGCCTTCCTTGCGCAAAGCCCTTATACAACTGTTGACTGAACTAGAGTACTCCACAGTCATGTACGTCCCCTCTCAATTATCTCGTGCTTCGTTGTAACTTTTTCCCAGGCGAAACCGAGAAGAGTGTACTCGCCTGCTCACTCTACTAGTTAGCGCTACTCAACGGCTCATCAAACCTTACGCCCTTCCCATGCTTCGCGTTCTCCTCCAGAAAGCTAATGATACGAACCCCACCGTTGCAGCCAATGTTCTTATGTGCCTAGGGGAGTTGGCATGTGTCGGAGGAGAGGATGCAATGGAGCATGTTCCTGACCTTATGCAGGTCATCATTTCAAGGCTTTCAGATCCTTCCCTTATAAAGCGGGATGCCGCTCTTCATACTCTTGGTCAAGTCTGCTCAAGCACGGGCTACGTCATCGACCCTCTGGTGGATTATCCCCAGCTGTTACCTCTATTGGGAAGAATCCTCAGGACAGAGGTTACTCAACCAGTACGTCGTGAGGTAGTCAAAGTTCTTGGTATTCTTGGTGCTTTAGATCCCTTCCGACGAAAGGTGAGAGATTGTTTTGACCCAAAACCGTGTATCCAGCTCATTGCCGTCTTCCAGAGCCGGCCTGACGAAGATTCTGGGAACGAGACCGCTGTTGCAGCTGTCAATCAGGTCCCCGTGGCTCAGCACACAGCTACATCTGCATCCGATGATTATTTCCAGACTGTCGTTATTACATCTCTTCTGGCTATTCTCAAAGATCAAGCTCTGAGCAGCCATCATCACACTGTGATCGAGGCAATTATGTCTATATTCAAGACGCAAGGTCTCAAATGTGTAACTTTCTTGCCGCAAGTACGTACTATATACTTGCTTTTGTTTTACAGCGCTCATGGAGCTTCTTCGATAGATTATACCGGCGTTCGCCGCCGTCACTCGAGGCTCAGCTGCTCGACTTCAGGAATTCCACCTGCAACAACTTACCATCTTGATTGGTATCATCAAGCAACATGTTCGCAATTACTTGCCAGACGTATTCAGTCTTATTACTGAGCTTTGGGAAAACGTGTCGCTTCAGCTTCCGATCGTATCATTGATCGAGGCGCTGGGGAAAGCTTTGGACGCCGAATTCAAGCCTTTCCTCCCGTCTATTCTGCCCCTCATCCTCAAAGTATTCGACGGGGAAATTACAGAAAAACGAGCCAATACTCAGATCAAAATCTTCGACGCATTCTTGACCTTCGGAGCAAACATAGAAGAATACCTGCATCTTGTGATTCCCATCATCGTTAAATCGTATGAACGACAGGAACCATTTGAGCGGCCAGAATTGATTACTGCCCTCCGCAAACGTGCTATCCAAACGATAGAAGGCTTATCAAGAAGAGTCAATTTCTCAGATCACGCCTCGCGTATCATTCACCCTCTAGTTCGAGTTTTGGAAGGTCCCAACAACGAATTGCGCATGGCAGTCATGGATACCCTATGCTCTCTTGTCATCCAGTTGGGCTCAGATTTCGCTATCTTCGTACCAACGATAAACAAGGTGAATTCATTTTGGCGTCAAAAAGTCAAATCTTTGTTTACTCATTGATGCAGTGCTTACTACGGAATCGCATCCCCCATCCGAAATACGAGAATTTGATCTCCAAACTTCTCAACGGTGAACGACTGCCTCAGGAAGCAGGTGTTCTCGAATTGCTGTAAGTGCTTTCCTTGAAGGTGTTGATAATTATATATCTTTTTGCATAGACTTTCAGAAAACTCAAAAGCTCCTGAGTTTTCGGCCCCGGCGG